AGCTTGGAGTGTAGCTCAGTGTAGACTACTTGCCTAGCATTCACGAGGCCATAGGTTCAATCCCCAGCTGCAAAATATAAATAGATAGATAGATGATAGATAGATATAGATAGATAGATAGATAGATAGATAGAATGGGAGACAAAGGAGTATATATACCAGGCATTTGAACTCTACTGAGAATCAAGAGAAGACAATTTAATGGAATCTGTAGGTGGGTAATTCTTCATTCTAGGGAGCTACCCCTTGTATATTTCCCTTGCATAATATGTATAGCCCTTCTCCATGTTTCCAAACAACCCTCAGGGATAGTACTGCCCCTGAATACCAGTGCTAATCTAAGTTGTTATTTACTATCCATGGTTGGGGACTTCTAGCCCACCCACATGAAGAGCAGTCACAGTTCCCAATACAGTGACCTCAAATGGCTCAGATGGTGAATGGTGCCATGGATTTCTGGCATACCTTCGGGAAGGAGCCTGATCTTTCTCACTCCTCCTGCCTCTCCCAGGATTTGGTTCAGACCCTTACATCTCCCTTAAGGGCTTCAAGGAAGGAAGCATTCAGCTGAGATGCAGCTCTAGTGGCTGGTACCCCAAGCCTACGGTCCAGTGGAGAGACCACCAGGGTCAATGCCTGCCTCCAGAATCTGAAGCAATTGTACAGAATGCCCAAGGCCTGTTCAGTCTTGAAACATCTGTGGTTGTCCGAAAGGGAGCCCATAGCAATGTGTCCTGTTCAATCCAGAACTCCTTGCTGGTCCAGAAGAAAGAGTTTGTGGTGCAGATAGCAGGTCAGTAGGCCCTGGTTCACCATTATTATCCTAGTTTTCACATTCTCCATGTCCCATTTGGCCCAAAGGTGGTCAGTAAGGACACAATAATTCTGAGTCCCAACCTGGTGGGGCAAGTTGGCCTTGACATCTGAAAAGTCATCAAATCAGATATCAGGCACTCACTAAGAATGCAGCTGACTACCCAAACAATAGATGGGCAAGACCCTAGGGAGACAAAAATACCATGCTAAAGGCCATACACTAAAACTCATAAACTCTAATCATTAGAGATCGTCATGAGAACCCATGTGTCCCTAATTTCATCCCTCAAACAATTACAAATAGAGCACTCACAATGTACCCCAAAACTCTACCCTCAGCCTCTCCTCAGTGTGGGGGAAATAGACAACAATACAATGAGTAAACCACATCATACCCTGGAAGGCAGAATTAGCTGAAGAGAAAAACAAAGCAGAGAAGGGTGCCTGAGAGCAACAGGATATGTCTATGAATTATAAAAGGGTTACTGGGGGAAGTAGCTGTTTAGGCAAAGTTGAAGTTTAGGCTATTATTTAGCATCAAAATCTTATTAGGAGGCACCCAATGGACAGCCTTAATGTTCGTAGCTCTAAGTTGTTTTAAGAGTTGAATAAAATTCAACCTATGGGCCATTTCACATCGGTCTAAATCAATTATTGCATTATTATAGCAGAAAGAAATTTCTCCCTTTGGGTCAGGCATATCGAACCCACTGAGCATACATGGTCTCAAGATAAACAATAATTTGTCCTCATATTGGAGGACCTGGCAGCATCATTCATCACACACAGTTCATTCTATGGCCATCTGTGCTAGCTGTCTTTATCCAAAGGCAAAATTAAACATCTCATATCTCTATGTCAAACATATAGTAACGACTTGAAGCCAGGTAGAGATAAGAGTGTTTTGTTCTTAATGTTTGTATGTCAAAGAGATATCCCCTAAAAAAAACTGGGTTGCAAAACTGGCAAGAGGCTTGTTTAGGTGTCAAAATTATTTACCTGTAGTCAAAGGAATAGAGAAAGAATTTATAAGTTCCCTAAAGGAAATGCTCTGAGAAAGGAGAAGGAAGGAATATCTCTTTTTGTATAAGGAAAATCCAGTTTTGTTTTTCTTTTTAGATTTGTGCATAAATCTAAATTTGTAGCCAGAGTTCTATGCCAAAGGCCTAACTCCCATATGCCAAAATGTCAGGTCTGGCCACTCACCCCAATACACCAAATAAAGAGAAGAATAGCGGTGAAGGACAGAGAAAGCAAACTTATCAGGAGGCACAGGCACGCCATGAGACGAGGCAGAGCAAGCCTCATCTTTGGGCTTAACTAGGGGTAGAAGCTGGGCAGAGGGCAAGAGGTATACATAATTAAGTGGTCCCAAGCAAAGTGTGGCCTGGCAATCATTATCTCAGTTCTGGTTCTTCCAGAGATTCCTTGTCAGTGCTGTCATCACTTGTGGGGAGCAATCTGGTTCCTGATGATCACTACTGCTCCAGAGTGAAGCCTCACCTTTGTAGTTAATTGCCCTCACTTAGGGTGGTCTGTCCTTCAGGATCTGCATAGATTCAGTCCCTTCTCATAAAGATGTTATCAATCAGTCTTGTCCTTCCTGGAACTCACAGTGATTGCATGAAAAGGACTCAGAGCAAAAAGAGACAAAACGAAAGCAGGGGTGCCAGGCTTTCATCTTGCTTTTAGTCAACTTTTGGACCAAAGTGAGGAGTCAGGGCGAGTCAGGGCTTTTAGCAAAAGCAGTTTCTGAGAACCTGTTATCATTGTTGTAAATTTATATTGCTTATTATTTATTAAGTTTGCATATAATTTTATATGTGTATGTTTTTGTATGTATATCTCCTTTACAGAAGCTGTGAATCAGTAGAGGGAAAGAGCACAGAGGCCTGAGGGGCTGGAACAGAGGGCCAAGGTTGAGGGCAACAGGTCAAGGAGGCAGCAAACTCTGAAGTCCTTGCTTTTAATCCCTGAGTTTGTGCTGTGAAAACCATCTGTGGTGAAGGACAAATCCATTGTGGTTTAATGTCTTTGTAAGGTACAATGAAAATGCAGCTCTAGAAAAACAAAACTAAAAAAAAAGAAGTAGACCACATATGCTAAGTGAAATAAGCCAGACACAAAAGGACAAAATACTGTATGGCTTCACTTACATGAAGTGCCTACAATAGTCAAATTTTTCAGACACAGGAAGTGGGATAGTGGTGTTAGGCTGTGAGGAGAGAAGAATCAGTGTTCAGGGATAAAGGGTTTCAGTTTGGGATGATGAAAAATTTCTGGAGATGGATGCTGATGACATCCATCAGCAATGTGGATATTCTTAATACCCCTCAGCTGAACACTAGAAAAATGGTTAAGATGAGAACTGAGAGTGTAGCTTAGGGGTACTGCACTGGCTTCAAATGCACGAGGTGCTGAGTTTGATTCCCAACACCTGAAACAAAGGGGTGGGAGACAGCTAAGGTGATAGGCTTGTTTTGTATAGTTAACCACCATGTTTTGAAAGATAAAAATATTCTTTAAAGAAAGACTTTGGAGAGAAAAGTACCATTTAAAAACGGAATTATGAAATTGCCACAAGAGTTTCTAAAGGGTTACTGTCAGTTTTTGCTCTCCTCTCTTCATCTTCTGGCCACTGTCTACCTTAGCATTGGCCTTGGCCATATCCTGCCTGGAGCAGATGCTCCCCTAGGGATTTGGGGAGCAATCTTTAGCATGCTACTGCTTTGTTAGCAATTCTTCCAAAGGTGTGTTGAGAATGACATAGAAACCAATTGCAAGAAGCAAAGAGACAACTTGTGGATTCCACAGCAGGGTAGAACAATTACTGGGCTTCAGACATAAGCAAAACACTGTGGACTCTCCATTCCTTCAGACATACAGCAGGAGCAGGAAGAAAGGAGGGAGGTCAGTTCTAAGCAGGAGCAGGGGTGAGGGCAGCACTAGCACCTCCATTCACTTCCTGCAGTTTACATCACTTTCTCCTTCCTCTGAGCAAGTTCAAGTTCACCACCATTCCACCTGATCCCACCAGAAAAGAAAGCCATGCAGCTGCTCTCACACTCAATTTACAATGACTCTAGTGGACCCAGAAGGTTTAGTCAGCCAAACAAAGGACACTTGAAAGATTTGCCAGCACAGGGGGTCCAAGACAGTCTTGTTTCAGTGGTTAGTGACACCTAAATGGAGACAACTCTCTGGGGGTATTTTCCAGACATATTTTTACTGGGACCTTCCCCCTGGAAGAAACCTTTCCTTGGGACCCTGGTGGCACTGCCACTCCTCCTGGCCCTCCTTTCATCGCTGGCACTGTACTACATTCACAAGCAGCGGCAGTCCCAAGGTATGCATGTCCCTCAAGACTGGTTTTGCTCAGAAGAACATGGTGGAGGGGACATTGAGGGACACCCTGGCAGGTACTGGACCCCAGAGTGGCTTATGGAAGCACCCTCCTGCCCTAGTTGGAATGGGACCAAGAAATGGGCATGGAAGGACATATAATCAATCTTCTCTTTTTTCTTCCTTTCAGCAAAGCTAAAGAAGCAGGCAGAGAAGGACCAAGGTAAGTTGGGGTGGAGGAGCACTCTAAGCCCACATCCCTGAGCAGCGCAAAGGAGGCTCTGGGTCACCAAAAAGAACCATTGAGCAGGAGGAAGGATTTAGGAGCAGGGCAAAGAGAGAGAATGGGACAGAAGTTTGCTCTTCCCCTTCCCTTCCTCCACGGGATTTTGTCCAGCCCAGACAGGGCACAGTGAGACTTCAGTGATCATGGATCTGTCCTACCTGAGATTCCTCTTTTCCTTTCCTTTCCAGGAAAACTGACTGCACAGCTTGGTAAGTTTGGGGTTTCCCCACCCACAGTGTAGGCTGCTAACCACTGGGATGGAAGGAGACCTTCCGTGGTTTTAGGCTTCTTTTGGGGAGAAATGGATTGTACCCATTTAATTCTAAACCAAGCCTTATAGGCTTCTCCTCTCCAAAGGGGCTGAAAGGACAATGGGTGGATACCCTTGTGGGTACACAGCTGCCAAAATCTGACTGGAGAACCTTTACACAGACTCTGCCAGCCCCTTTCCTGCAAATTACATGATTCAGTTAAAATTCTACCATTAAACATTTGCTCCCTCTGGTTCATCTTCCTAGGATACACACCCTTCTCTTTTTAGTGCAAATGCCACTGGGAAGGGGGGCGGTCTTTTATTTGCACTAAGGTTTGAATACTTTATCAATTCACTTTTTCCCCCAGAGGAGCATATCAACTTCAAATTATGGGGCGGGGGGGAGTTTACAAAAGATGATGATCGAACCCAGAGGGAGGGGAGATGGATAAGGCCCCATGGGTAGAAAGAAGATATCAAGGACCAAAATGTGGCTGTCCTAGAAAAACTGCAGACAAAACTGAAAGGGTTTCAATCTATCTAGCCCTGCAGGGGAAAACAAACAAAACAACTCTAATACCATGATTGTATTTAGTGTATAGTGTTAGCTTTCCCAGGAACATTTGTTTTTACAGAGAAGAAAAAGTGGAGAGATGGAAAGAATGCATTGTAGTGACAAAAATCTCAGAGTCTTCGGCATCATGCCAGGGGACAACTGAGTGCGATGTCCTTCCAGCACTTGAAGTACTCAGTATATGACCCTGAGAGTTACACAGGCTGTACTTATTTTCCTGGACTTAATCAGGAGCTCCTCCCCAGGAAAGGGTTGTGATTTCAGGGTGAAGCAGTAGCTTCTTCAAACCAGGTCTGAGCATTGGGAAAAAACTCTTAGTAGCAAACCAGCTTTGCTACTAAGCTGGTTGCAGCTTTCTACCTCTGAATGACTAGGATAGGGCATCAGAATCCCGCATGTGGAATTCTGGCAAGTTGGAAACAAGGATGGGGTTTTGGTTAGCAGTGGTTTAAGACTAAGGAACCTCTTCAGTGACTTAGTAACCTAGGAAGAAGTTTGGAAGATGATTCCACTCATTGATGGTTTCTCTGTTTTGCTTATAGAGAAGCTTCAGACAGAGCTTGGTAAGTGACCCCTCTTAGAACTATTCCATCCTGGTTATCTCATGTCCCAACCAGGTATGAAGCCCAGGGTGGAGCACTGCTGGTTCCTTGGGTGGCTGGAGAAGGGTGGAAACAGCAGGGGTGGTGTAAAATGCGATGTGTGAACAGGGAAGCTGCAGTGTCCTGATGTTCTTATTCTGTTTTTCCTTTGCTATTTCAGACTGGAGAAGGAGTGAAGGCCAGGCTGGTGAGTGAAGCCTATTTCTCTCCCACTCTTTCTCATTATTATTCCTGACTGACCCATGATGGAGTTACATACCAGGAAGCCCATTATAAGTTGAAAATGTCCTGGTTGGAAATGCTTTTAATGAATCTAACTCTGGCAAACATAGTTCAGCAAGACAGCACACTGTAGATTTCTGGTCAGTTAACCATGTTATCTATCGTGTATGGTTGCCCAACATCTCCAAAGAATATCATACCATGTATCACTAGCCTGAAAAACAATTCACATTCAAAACTTGAAGTAGAGTTTCTATTGAATGCACATGTCTTTCACACCATTGTAATGTCAAAAAAACCAAATCACTATGTCAAGCCACCATACACAAGGGACATAGGAACATCTCAGCATGTTGATACTCACCCTGATTAACCTGCCACACATCTGCCTCCATTCCAAGCCTGACTGCACATATTACTCTACATCACTTAATAGGGGTTAGACTCCAGTTTTACCTTTATGTTTATTTTTATATTGTTCTGAAGCCTAAAAATGCTGGAAACCATTGGTTCTTATCCTGGTTGCTGTCACAATCACCTGGTGTCTATACTCAAAGACTGCCTGTGGGTCTGGAGAGGCACATTATAATATATGTAAATATTTCTCTCCATAATTCCCAGTATTCCCCCAATAAGGCAAACAGTCTATTGTACATCTTTAGTATATATTCTTAAAAATGTGAATTCCTATTTTGCGTATACATTTTAGTCATGTAAATGACATGCACAGTCTCATGTTGCTTCTTGCTTTTTCCATGCATCTCATTTGAATATCTGTCCCATGTGAGCATCTGGTCTGTTTCTCTTTGCTGCAGAGCACTCCACTTTAGCCAGCTGCTCTCCTGGAGTAGACAACCAGGCTGCCTCTGACTCCCCACCACCTCAGACAGCATTGAATCCATAGCTTCAAATGCGTCCCTATCACCCTACATGGAGATGTTTCTGGGATGCATACACAGGAGGGGAATTGCTGGCCCATGGGGATTTGTCCACTAGTGGGACAGAGGGCTTTCAGAGTACCACCATCCTGCCATCGGCACTACATGGAGGTTCTGTGTGCACGCATCCAACGTGAGCTAGCTTTCTAAATTTACAGACAATAGGATAAATGATTGCTCAATGACTACTAAAAAGTTTGAGCACCCCTCTATATTAGTTGGTTTTTGTGGCTTCCTCTTCTGAAAACCTCCAGTTCACAACTTTTGCCCATTTTTCTTAAGGGTTGCTGTCTTTTTCTTGATATGTGTGTGTGTGTGTGTGTGTGTGTGTGTGTGTGTGTGTGTGTATATATATGTGTGTGTGTGTGTGTGTGTGTGTGTGTGTGTATATGTATATATTTCCCACATTGGTATTGTCAATTCCTTTTCCCATTATGTCATCTGGCATTAGTCTTTTCCAGGTTCCACTGCTGAAAAGAAATTATTAATTTTTTACCTGGTATAATGGCTCATGCCTATAATCCTATCTATTCAGGAGGTGGAGATCAGGAGTATGATATTTCAAGGTCAGCCTGGGCAAAAAGTTAGACCCCAAATCAACAAAATAAACTAGGCCTTGTGGTGCATGCCTGTGATCCCAGCCAAGTGGAAGGCATAGATAGGAGGATCATGGCTGAGGCCAGCCCAGGCAAAGAGCACAAGACCCTATCTGAAAAATAACAAAAGAAAAATGGAGGGGGCACCAGGATCTGACGCAAGTGGTACAGCACTTGCCTAGCAAGTGTGAGACCCTGAGTTCAAACCTCAGTAGTGCCAGAAAAAAAAAGAAGTTACTATTTTTTATAAAATCAAATTCAGGAAATGCTTACCTATGGCTTGTGTTTTTGAAGTTTTGTTGAAGAAGATCTTTGCCACACATAAGTCACAAAGATATTCTCTTATATGTTCTTGTATTACTTTATATGTGTGTTAGCTTCCTGTTTCTATAACAAAACACATGAGATGATCAATTTATAATGAGGAAAGGTTTATTTTGGTTTCAATCCATGGTCACTTGGCCTTTGATTCTGTGGTAAGGCAGCACATTGAGAGAGGAGTGGGAGCATCTGGTAGAGCAAGCTGTTCCCTTCATAACGGGGAAGCAAACATAGAAAGAGGAGAGATTGGGGTCCTAATCCACCTAAGGGCATTCTCCGTTATGGCTGGAAGTCTTCCAATGAGGCCCCGCCTCTTAAAGTTTCCTCCACTTCCCAATACTGCCAAGCTGAGGACAAAGCTTTTGATACAAGGGCCTCTGAGGACATTCCAGACCCAAACTATAACAATATGTGTTATGTGTAGGTCTTTAACCTAAGAATTCTCCATTTTCTGGGTGGAAGAAGAAAATCCAGTGATTTTCCTCTGTTTGGTGAGACTGTTTCCCCAATGCTATCCAGGTGGAGATGTAACCCTTAGTGTTCATTCAGTTCCCATGTCTAAATGGGTGTGTCCACTGGCCCAGCTACCACCTCATTCTTTGTTATTGCTATGGCTTTTATGGTATCTGAAAGGACCATTCTACTTCCTTTTTGAAGTTAATAGATATTCTTAAGATACAGATTACAAGAAAAAATTTATAAAGTTCTTTTAAAAATCCAAAAATCGATTTGCATCAGATTATTTTGAATTTATAGATTAAGTTTGGGGAGAATCAAGATTTTACAGAATTGAGTTATTCTATGCAAGAGTTACATATTTTTAAAGTTCTGGTTCGTTCTGATACAAAACCAGGATTAAATGTGTAGAGCTCTGAAAAAAAAATCTTGTATTGCTTTTGGTCAACTCTTTGTTACAAAACAGAACAAGAGGAAACAAAATAGAAATTTCTTCACAATGGCTCATTAAGAAAGGAGACCCATTGTGGAAAGACAGAGTGACCAGAAGACATCTTGGAAGGAGCCATGTTCAGCTGGGCCTCTGACCAGTCAGACAAGAGGCTTCATTTCCAACTCCTGCTCTTCCTAGCACTGCTTCAGTCTGCACACAGCTTTGTAGAACCCAGTGCTGATGCTAGGGCTTTACCCAACCCCAAATTCTCAGGAAAATGCCATCCTTCATGCATTTTGAGCTGCCCTCAAGGTTCCAGAGTTGCCGACTCAGCTTTCTAAGCCTCTTTTTCCTCTGTGTTTGGTTTCAGAGTGGAGAGGAGCCCAACAATATGCAGGTAACTGAAGCTGAAAAACTGATTCCTAAATTGGTTTGACTGGATCTTAAGTAGAAGGGATGACAAGAGCTGAGATTAAAGTCAGGTTTCTTCAGGAGCCACGACCAGGGCCTGGACACCAGACACACAGCACACTTGCATGTACACGAGACATGCAGCATGTGCACTCATGTCTTCCTACTCACATGTACACACAAACATGCTCCCACACATAGCTTTCCAGGTTTGCCAGGTTCATTTCCCAATGGCAGGAACCATGCTTCTTGGATCTATTTGCAAGGCAGAATGCAGTCTGGAAAGGAGCTCTCAGATCATCTCATAGAAAGGATCCCCAGGCCAGACATGATGGTACACCCCTATAATCCCAGCACTCAAGAGGCTGAGGCATGAGGACACCAGGGAGGACGTGGGGAAACACTAACTTAAAAAAACAGAAAGGAGGAGAAGGGGAAAGGGGAAGGGGAGGGAGAGGATAAGAGAGAGAGGGAGGAGGGAAGGAAAGAGGAAGAAGGAGGGGAGGAGTAGGAGGAGAAGAAAGAAAAAAGGGAGGAGAAAAAGGTAGAAGAAAGAGGAGGAGGAGGAAGGAGGGCGGAGGAGTAGTGGAAAGTGAGGGTAGGAAGGAGAGAACAGAAGGAGGAGGCGGAGGCAGTGGTGATGGAATGAATGCATGGCACAGACTAGGTGATCTCCGATGTTCCTTTCAGTTTTAAAAATCCTGAAAGTGCCTGAAAGGCAGGCCCTGAGCTCACAGGGTGATCGCAAAGTCACTGAGTGGTAGGGCCAGCAGGAATAGGACCAGTCAGTAGCTCCTTTGTCTTGCACAGGGGCTCCATCCCATGAATCTACCTTATTTTCTGTCTGTTTTCTCTCATGATACCAAGTATCAGGAACCTTTAGTTCAGAGAAAGAACAACATTCTTCTCACCACTTTCAAATGCAGAGGAGTGACTTGCATGCATGCCATTTGGGGAGAAAGACAAGGAAACAGGGTTTGCCAGAGTGGGGTGGAAGGTGACATTCCATGGATTGTTCCACCTGAAGAAACTAAAAGTTTGCTTTTCGGGGGTTAGACAGGAGAGTCCCGGAATCTCCCTAGCTGGCACTAACCCTGTGCTTCTGCGTAGTGGACGTGACCCTGGATCCAGCCACCGCGCATCCCAGCCTGGAGGTCTCTGAGGATGGCAAGAGCGTGTGGTCGTGCCGGGGGTCGCCGAGCCTGGCAGCCTGCGATCCTCAGCGGTTCTTGGGGCAGACGTGCGTGCTGGGCCGCGAGCGCTTTGTCACGGGCCGCCACTACTGGGAGGTGCACGTGGGCCGCCGCAGCCGCTGGTTCCTGGGCGCGTGCCTGGCCTCTGTGCCGCGCGCGGAGCCCGCGCGCCTGAGCCCGGCCGCCGGCTACTGGGTGATGGGGCTGTGGAACGGCTGCGAGTACTTCGTGCTGGACCCGCAGCGCGTGGCGCTCACCCTGCGCGTGCCGCCCCGCCGCGTGGGCATCTTCCTGGACTACGAGGCGGGAAAGCTGCCCTTCTTCAACGTGTCCGATGGCTCCCACATCTTCACCTTCAGCGACTCCTTCTCAGGGACTCTCTGCCTGTATTTCAGGCCCCGAGCCCACGATGGCAGCGAACACCCGGATCCCCTGACTGTCTGCCACTTGCGGGTTAGAGAACGACCAGGACACCTGGTTGCAGCCCTTTGAGCCCTTGGATGCCGCTGTGCTCCTGTGGTGAGGCGCTTTCCTGGCCGCAGGGCTGGGTCCTGGGTATCAAGTCTTTGCTCTCCAGCTTCCCCAGAGCCAAGGAATGCAGGAACCAAAATGTCAGCAAAGCCTAAAGGGACAAAGAGAGGGACCTTTGCCAATGTAGATGTGTGCATATAATTTTCTTTAAGGAAAGAGACATTTCCAAAGCTCGTTTGTGTCCATGGTAGCATTCAGCAATTGAGTGAAAATACACTGATGTTGCTGATAGCCGGGATGCTCCCTGTGGGAAACTGGAAAGAAGTTGGAATGGCAGAAACGCTGTTGGACGGGATCAGAGTTCATTTGTATGGTCTTATTCGTTTCTATATATGTGCTAGCTCTACAAAATCTAGAAGTAATGACCTGATAGGCAATGGGTTCACAGTGGCTCAAATGCTAGTTGTAAATACCATTTCCTACTAAAATGAAGTTGGAGAAATAGCTGATTCTACACTGGGTCAAAGAAAGTCCAAAGCTTGAATTATCTTCTGCTATAAATATCAGTGCTCAGAAACTAATGGGTGAAAAAATAAGTTCAGATCTATTGTGCAAATAGTGACGATAGTTAATAATAATGTATTATATATTTGAAAATTGCTGAGTAGATTTTTTTAATGTTCTCACCACAAAAATAGTATGTGAGATAATTCATATGTTAGTTTGATTTAGCCAACCCACAATGTATACATATATCAGAGCATGTTATATACCATAAATATAATTTTGTCAATCAACATATATAAGTAAATACATATAAATATTTAAAAATAAAAGCACATATGCAAAAATCAAAAGTGTGTAGGTTCCCATTTGGAAAGGTTTCCCTGACCAATTATGGGGCAATTTGAACATTAAAAGCAGTAACAGTAATGGGGCTGGATGCTTGCCTTGCGTTGCCTTGCATGTTGAAAGCCCTGGGTTAGATCCCAAGCTCTGCGGGAGGGGAGGCAAGAAAGAATTATTACACAGAGATTTTTTAAAAATCCATGAGTTTGTATTGATATTTAAATTTCTTTTTTTAAAGAATAAACAGGAAGTTATTTTTTACAGATGGAGTCTAGCTAAAAGAAGTAAAAGGAAAAATAGAAAATGAAAAGCAACCAGCTTAACACCATGGAAATAATAGGAATAGACAAAAGTTGTCACCGGGTGAATGCATTTTGGAGAACAAGAACGTTCCACAGCCTTAACTTCTTTTAGATTTAAAGGAAAAAGGTTACCTTTGCAATGGCGATCTGCAAGATTGACCAAGTAATTAAATTTACAACACCAGTGATGAGATATTAGTTTATGAGGAAAATGAAATAGGGACTCCCTATTAAAATATTATGTAAAGTTAATTTTCTGAGTGAGAAATTGGTGCAGTGCTGATGCAGGAGAATGCTCGTTTCTTCACAAATATATGGTGAAAGTTTTAGGGGTAAATTTTCACAATGTCTGCAACTGACTCTCAAATCCCTGGGCACTATATATATATATATATATATATATATATATATATAGAGAGAGAGAGAGAGAGAGAGAGAGAGAGAGAGAGAGAGAGAGAGAGACAGAGACAGAGACAGAGACAGAGAGAGCTTTGACTTTGGGTCCAGAGTCCAGGAAGGGAAGTTTAGTTTGCAGCTGAGCTAGTCTTTCCTCCTTTCCTCTTTCCTTTTCCTTTTCTTTTCCCCTTCATGAGACTGAGATTTCTATCAGTTTAGGGATGGGAATGGGATAGGGCAGAGGTTGACATGATTGGGGCTCTGAGTTCAATCCCCAATATGGACAAAAAAGAAAAGCAAATGCATGCTTAAGTATTAAAGGGAATGGGATGTGATGTTTTCACCTTATTTTTTAATAATCCATTTAAAATATGGCAATAAGACTGGGGGTGTGGCTCACTGTTAGAGTGCTGGCCTAAATAGGTAAGGTCCTGGGTTTAATCTCCCACACTGCAAAGCAAATAAATAGCAGTATGAATGAAAATAATGATTTTTAAAATGCAATGGTGTTTAATATCTGGCTTTCTGAAAAAAGATGAAGAGCATTTGCTGATTTTGGTAATGCAGACTCTTCTAGATGGTCACTTCCAAGCTTCAGATGAAACATTACTAAGAGCAGAGGTGGGAAGTGTCTTTGTCAGTGTGGGTTTCTACAGAAACAGTATCAGAGACTGTGCCTTATAAGCTATAGAAATTTGTTTCTCACAGCCCTGGAGTTAGAAGCCTGAGATCAGGGCCAGCATGATCTGGGTCTGGAGAGGGCTACTTCTGGATTATAGACTGCTCACTTGTCCTTGTATCCACACATGGTGGAAAGATCAATAGAGCCTCAGGGTACCCCTCTAATACTATTCACAAGGGATCAACCCTTGTGACCTAATTATCCTTCAAAATTTCACCTCCTAATTCTATTACATCCCAGTGGGGGTTAGGACTTCAACATATGAATTTGGGGGACATAAACATTCAGTTCACAACAGGAAGATTTCCTCATGATGGGCTCTTATGACCCCAGCTGCAGCAACTGGGTTGTAATGCTACATGGGGTGTTTGGCTATCTATTGTGATTTGCTTCTCAACAAATAAAATAAGTATATAAGTAAGCTTCCAAAAATATACTTGGCCACCTGTTGGGATGTAGTTATTTCTTTTCTAGAACACGTAATACTCAGGCAAAGGAAGTTTTATTTTCTAGAATCATTTGCATTACTGTGCAAGTATTTTGGGGTCCTACTCAGAAGTGGTTTTTGATAACATTAAAAAATATTTTTTTATCCACAAACAGAAGAAGTGAGACTTTTTTCTCAAGCAATATATAAAAGTCAACTCAAAATTGATTAAAGACTTAAACCTAAGACCTGAAACCATAAAATTACTAGAAGAAAACAGAGAGGAATTACTCCATAACATTGGTCTTGGCAAGGCTCTTGCATATAACCCTAAAAGCATAAGAAACATTAACAAAAATAAATAAATATGATTGCCTCAAACCAAAAAGCACAACAAAGAAAACAATAAAGTGAAGTGACAACTCATGGACTGGGAGAAAATATTTGCAAACCATACATATGATAACAGACTAATATCAAAACACATAGGGAATTCAAACAACTCAGTAGCAACAAAATAAATAACCTAATCAAAAATGGGCAAAAGAATCCAGACACAGTGGTGCACTCCTGAAGTCCCAGCTTCTCAGGAGGCTGAAGCTGGAGGATCACTTAAACACAAGAACTGGAGTCTAACTTGTGCAACATAGCAAGACACTGTATCAAACAAACAGGATTCTAATTCAGTGGTAGAGTTTGTGCTGAGCATGTGCGAGGCCCTGGGTTCAATCTCCAGCACCAATAAAGATTGTAAGGATAGGGATAAAAGTCAAAAGAACTAAATAGATACTTCTCAAAACAAACATAAATAGGCAACAGATATGAAAAAAGCTGTTCATCATCACTAATCATCAGGAAAATGAAAATTAAAACCACTATGAGATATACCTCACACCTGTGAGAATGGCTATTATCCAAAAAGATGAAAGATAAGTCTTGGCCAGGGTATGGAAAAAAGAGAACCCTTGTGTACTATTGGTGGGACTATTGAAAACACCATGTAATTCCTCAGAAAATTATAAAAAAGGATTACCAAATGATCCAACCATTCCACTCCTGGGTATATCCAAAGAAATTGAATCCAGGCGTTTGTGGCTCACACCTGTAATCCTAGCTACTCAGGAAGCAAAAATCAGGAGCAAATAGTTTTAAAGCCAACCCTGAGCAAATAGTTTGAGAGCCCCTACCTGTCTCAAAAAACAAATTCACAAAAAAGGGCTTGAGGAGTGGCTCAAGGTGAAAACTCTGAGTTCAAACCCTGGTACTGAAAAAAAGAAAGAAAGAATGAAAAGAAATTGAAAGAGAGGTTGGAGGAATGGCTCAAGGGCTAAAAGCACCTTCCTAGCAAGCATGAGGCCCTGAGTTCAAACCCCAGTGCCACTAAAAAAAAAAAAAGCGTCCAAAGAAATTGAAAGAGACACCTGCAATACCATGTTCATTGCATCACTGGTTGCAGTAGCAAAGATGCGGAAGCAAACTAAATATGCACGAACAGATGAATAAAAAGGGTAGATATTATAAAGAGGGAAATTTTTGTTATTTGTGACAACATGGATAAACCTGGAAGAAATCGAGCTAAGTGAAATATGTAGACTCTAAACCAGCTGAACTCATAGAAAGACACAGTGGAGACAGTGGTTACCAGATGCTGTGAAGAGGTGTTTGGGGAAAGGGGAGATTGATACAAAAGTTTAGTTTGAAGAAATAAGCTTTACTAATCTGTCACACAGAATGATGACTATAATAAGTAATAATGCATTGTATACATTTTAAATGTATTTCTTGGCTATATGTAATCATTATTCCTGTAGGGTCATTTTATGTGTTAAGTAAAAAAAGTAAACACATAGCTGATACAAAAAAATTACATTTTTTAATAGTCAATGGTTTCATCAGCCTATTTGAAATAATGGACAAGCCCAGTCAGTCATCAAGCTGAAATCTACACATTTTGGGAACTGTAAGAGCCATGACAGAGGCCAGCCAGAGGCTCAACACTCACAATAAGAACTCAAATTTCCTTCCAGTTAAATGCCCTAAACCCTCTCGCAAGTTTCTGAAAACAGGACACTGTATATTTAGTTCTCCCCATTGTTCACATTTCCCATAGAGTTACCTGCCAAAACTGGGAAAGGTAAACACAGTACAGCTGGGCTCTATCCACTCCACAGTCAACACTTTCTGTGTCTGTGGATTCCATATATGTGGATTCAACTAAACAAGGATGGAAAATGTTCAAAAACATACTGAACATGTGGATTTTCTCCCTTGCAATCATTCCCTAAATAACACGGTGTAACAATTTACATGGCATTTCCATTGCATTAGGTATTCCAAGTAGTGTGGATGATATAAATTATGTAGGGAAATGTGTATTGGTTATATGACAGACTTTT